TCTATTGTGTTATTCGTTTATTTATTCTGGCTTGCTGTTTTATTAAAACCTTATGTATTGTTTTTGTTGTTAGATGATCGGATTTAGACGGGACAGTTGCAACATACAGTATAAAAAAAAATATATATACGTTGCACTACGGTGTAGTCAAGTTCATTTGATCTGTTTATTTGTATTTACTGTGAAATATGATAGCAATTAGACATACAGATAACAAGTCAATGTCAACATTTTGCAGGAGTTCTCATCGGAGCGGCGAGCCAGTTTGAAGCGTGTCGTGTCGCTCCATATGTCAACGTGGGAGCTCTGCGCATGCCATTCCAGCAGGTAAGTTACAATGCAGAGGCGTCCTATTTCTATTTCTATTTCTATTTCTATGAATCCACAATCAGATTTCCCTCCTTTTGTTCTTGCAATGACATAAGTGAGACATTTTGACGAAGAATATAACTGCTAGGCTATTGCATAGACGAGTTGAGATTTGTGAATTGATCGTGCTTGCCCCATGCATTTGAATCATATTCGGGGGGGGCATTGCAAGCACACCGGAATGCAGGTGTCCGAATGCATTATTTATTTATTTTTAGCTATGATGATAAATGCAATTGATCCAGTGCCCAGTAACGGCTCTGCATATAGTCTCTCTTAAGTTAATGTGTTTCTCCCCCTCTCTTCCCACCCGTGCGTCCATAGGATAGTCATTGCAACGTGCCGCCCTTCTCCTTTCAGGTGCAGGCGCAGCTGCAGCTGGACAGCGCCGTAGCCCACGCGCACCATCACCTGCACTCACACCTGGCGGCGCACGCGCCCTACATGATGTTTCCCGCCCCGCCGTTCGGTTTGCCCCTGGCGACGCTCGCGGCGGAATCCGCCTCGGTGGTGGCGGCGGCAGCGGCGGCAAAAAGCACCAACAAAAACTCAAGCATCGCGGATCTGAGACTGAAGGCGAAAAAGCACGCGGCGGCGCTGGGGCTGTGACGTCACTGAGCACCGAACGCGACGCGAGGCAGAAAAACAAACGCATTATTTATGTTTTCCTGTGAAGGACGCGCGAGAGAAAAAGGAGAGGCTATTTATGAGAACACAAACTGTGAAGTGGACGAACTTTGCGTGGATCTTTTCGCGGATGGAGGGACAACTACAAAACGTTTGAATGAACTACGAGAAAATAAAAAGAGTTGAACTTTTAGTGAACTTTTGCAGAAGACAAGAAGCTGAATCTGAATCTGATGATATAAAGCAGCTGGGACGATTGTTCGGCTGTTTGTGTGACAACGCGAACATTTCTGCTTTAATACGTTATTAGTAATTAATGAAAATAAAGAGGCTGGCCTCGTTTTATTTGAAACAAAGTTTCTCTGTGGATATTTGTGAAATATTACAGAAATCACTTTTGTTGCCAAACATGAAAACCGCAGTGTTAAACACGGAGAAAACACGATTTCAGTCCAAGTTTATGCTCTTTGAGTTCTGCAACAAAATAAACGAGCATTAAACGAAACGATGATCATTCCTTTGCCTATTAATGAGTGTATTGTGAATATAATCCAATATCAGGTGATTTTTCAATGGAGATCCGTCAGATGCACACTTCACATTAACACACATCAGGCTTTTATTCTCGGTGTACAAATCAAATTCAGGTAATACACTAATATTGATATGGTACGGGCACGTGTAAAATACCTATGTTAATAACAACAACAACAAAAAAATACTTTGGTTGTTTTATGCTTCATCAAGGCATTGTGGGAGCACTCTGGATTTTCTTTGCTATTTCCTTTAGTTCTTGTTCCTTCATCTTTTGTACAACCATGTGAATCTAAATGTAATGTTCATGTTTTATAAGGGTTATAAAAGGACATCGACTGCGGGCACTCATTTTTATGATATCTATGATTTTATCATGACTGTGAAACGTGAGCTCACCTCAACACCGTGTTTTCGATTCATAAAATAAATGTAAAAAAAAAAAAAAGGCTCTAGCATCTGTGTCATGGTATACGCAGCTCGTATTATTTAATTGTTCTTGTTGGTAAATAGGTGCATGTGATGGGAGCGTTTAAACAGAATGCTTCATGTGCACTTTATTCTTTAAGAATTGCTCTGGCGCTGGCGGCGTCTTATAATTTAATGTCTGAAATTATACACTGTAAATAGGCCTAATTAAAAGTCGACCCGTTTCTGTTTGGTTTGGATGATTCTGTTGTGTATGTTACGCATTATGCAACGTTCGTCATATATATATATGGAGATTGCCGCTGGGACTGAGCTTCATAGCAAGCGCTTCTTCTGCAGTGAAAATTCAAAATAACACTTTAGAAAAAAGAAAAAAATGGAATAAATATTTTCATATGAGATATTTTTGCTCATTTTGTTTTAAATAACTACAAAAAACAGTTGCTAACAATTTTTATGGAATCGAAATTACACATACACACACACACACACACACACACATATATATATATATATATGGTGCATCGCTTGCATTCTTCTGAAGCTTCATCAACTATCGAGAACTGAAGCGGTTCTCTTGAGAATCTGATAAATACCAAATGGCATCTCCTATCGTGAATAACCTGTCTGGTCAGATTACTGTCTGGATACAAAGTACAATGTTTTGGCCTATTAATTAATACTGCTTTAACAAAGGCGCGGTATAAAGAGGGCTTGTGTATCCAGCCCAGGGCTGCACTCGGACGCCAGTGCTATTGAATTATTGATTCCTCTTATGCTTAGTTGAGACAAACTTGTGAATGAGGGATTGCTGTACAGAGGACGAAAGGTGGGTATTAAAAACGAGCGAGTCACCCCAAATCGGATACATTTACCAGCAGATTTGGACACTGCGCTTTGGATATAAACATATACTTTTTCTTCAATTTTCTGCGTAGGCTAAGTGAGAGTCCCTCCTGTAAACAGCATGACCTTGAACTAGAGCTAGAAAAGTGATCTGACAAATTAGAGACCTCGACTGCAAGCTGCACTATAACAAATAGCAGTGTTTAACACAATAAATTACAATAGCAACCTATTCTGAAAATACAGTAGGCCTACACTCTTAAAAATAAATGTGCTTAACAGGTTCTTCACAGCGATGCCATAGAAGAACCATTTTTGGTTTCACAAAGAAGCATTCAGTCAAAGCTTCTTTAAAGAACCATCTCTTTCTTACCTCTTTATAATCTGGAGAACCTTCTTTCGCCACAAAGAAGCTTTTGTGAAACAGAAAGGTTCTTCAGATGTTAAAGGTTCTT